TTGAGCGGTGCTTCTCCTCCTCTCTGCTGCAAAGAAACGCATTAGTTGCAACATTGCTTTAATTTGTTTGCCAGCTTTCAGAGAGCCGAGCGGCTCGCTGCTCCCATCGGTGCTGTTTGGAGGATGTTTGCACGGCGGCAGCGTTAACCCTTGGGCTCCCGAGCGGGTTTGCACGCCCAGGACACACGAGTCGCCTTCGCCATCGCGGAGTGAGCGCGAGCCACTGGCCCGACCTGGCACTCCCCAGATGGGGGGGATCCATTTCCCTTTCCAGCTACTCTCAGCGTTTCCTTAACGAGATGAGTTTTGTTGTGACCACAACCAGTGTCAGAGGAAATAAAAGAAAATGTGATCTGAACGGGCTCTACAGCGGCGACAAGGACACGGGGACAAGCAGCCGCCAGCGGCGCCGGGGCAGCGCAAGCAGAGAAGGGGCAGCGGGGCAGGGTGGGAGCTGCGCCCGGGGAGGGCCGGGGGGATCCTGGTGCCCTGCACACCCCCCCCAGTACACGCACCCGCGGTGCCGGTGCCCGCCCGCGGCTCAGGGCCGCAGCAGGGGCTTCGCCTTCGCCAGACGCACCCGCGGGAGCGGGGCCACAGCCACCGCGGGGCATTTCTGCTCCAAACCAGCTCCGGCTTCTGGCAGAGAGCTCGGCTGGCAAAGGGAGCAAGGAGCCGGGGGGTGGCCTTGGGCAGCGCCGCAGGACTGCTGGCCACCACGGATCCCGGCGCGACCCAGCCACGGCCCAGCATCCTGGGAAATGAGTTTGTTCGGCCTCTGCCCCACGTTTCCAGATACAGGTCCCATCCAGCCTGAGCGTCTTCAGACCCTCCAGTCCCAGGGAGCAGCCCCGGGGCTGTGCTCCCGCCCAGACAAGAGGCTTTTTCTGGACACAGGGTAAAACAAGTGAGCCAGCCGAGGTGGAATCAGCACACGGGGGAAGTGTTTCAGGACAGCTGTTGAGCACTAGCCAGTGGCTTTGCCTTGCCTCGCGCTAATTGCTCGAGCTAATGAAGCTGCACGCTCAGCTCAGTGACTTTCTGCAGGGTTTCCATTCGCCTTCAGTTTGCTCTGCGCCATTCACAACTCTGGGAAGCGGCAGCTGATCGATCGCAAGATTTCCGGGATGGCAGGAGAGTAGAAACAGCCCTGAAAGGGGCTGTAAAAACCACGGCAGCCCCAAAGCAGGTGAGGGGCACCCAGATCCGAGGGCGATGAGCAGCAAGAGGAGGAAATCCCAGATATTCAGACCCAGGTGCGCAATGTTGGTGCAACATCGACGCAGCGATACGGCTCTTCCCTCGCTGCTGGCGAGGAGGTGTATCGGCTTTCCCGCAGGAGACGGGCCCCGGGGGGTTTGTCTCCTGCTGCCAAAACCTCAGGAGAGCTGAAGCCACCTTCCCCCCTTCCCCATCACTCTCCGTGTCTCCAGGTCCCCCGCACCCGCTCTGCAAGGTGCCTGGTTGTTAAGCGATTCAGCCTCCTTTTTAATCCCGAGCGCAGTTCTGAAGGTTTAAATAGAAAGATATCAAAATAAAAGATAATTGTTGAGAAAGATGAATAGGGGGGAGGAAGAAAAAAACCATCAGCACGGAGGAACTCTTGTCTAATTTCTCACCCACGCAGAGCACAGCGATATTAGTGCCTTCAACTCCGGTTCGTAAAAGCTTTCATGGCTTTATTACCAGCTCCCCGAATAGCTTGTCCTTTTAATAAGCCAAGGCCTCCAGATCGCGTATCTGCCCATGGGAGATCCCATCAGGACGTGGTTAACTCAGATAGAAATAGCAGAAAGTATCACTGCACTCGCCTGACCAAGGAAGCCCTCATCTGAGGCAGGAAAAGGTTAAAAACCACCCCAAAACGCAAGGGGGAGAGGGGAGAGGGGGGGGAGCGAGGAGCCACCTCTCTGCCGGGTGCCTCGTGGTGGTGGCACCCGATGAGTCGGTGCTGCTGGGTGTCCTCGGCTTCCCCGCCAGCCCTGCTCTGCACAGCCGCCGGCCTTGGCCACGGAGGCCTTTAATTATCCAAACTGCTGCCCCTCACAAAATTAAATGCCGCCGAGGATGACTCAGTGTTTAATGGACTGGCTGCTCCTCGCGCCGGGAGAGCCAAGCGGGTGCAAGGGAGAGCACAGCACACCACGGCATAAATCAGCCCGAGACACTCTGCACGGGGGCGAGTGACCCAGCAGCTCGGAGCAGGGAGGCAGGCGAACTGCTGGTTTTAAAGGGTTGTGTTTTCACTCCCCATAACCCCGCCAGGGATTCCTGCGCCCAGCAGCTCGGGGTGCTGCGGCTCGACCCTCCACCCCGGCTGTCGTTGAAGCCGTCGCATCTACCGCCGCCGGGGCGACGGGGATGAGCTCGATTTGGAAATCTCACGGCGTCAGCGAGCTGCTCGTGCTGGGTTCCCGTTTCTCAGGGTTTGGCTATGGTGGTTTCCTTTGGACAGGTCTCAGAAATGGTCAGGCTTTGTTTAAACGCAAGTAGGAGCCAAAAGATGCAACACAAGGCTTATCTCTGCCTCCGTTTGCTGACCTGGGATGGCGACGTGCTCCGGGCCAGCCAGAGCCAGCGGCGGCAAGAAGCAGCTCCGCTAATAGTCTCATTAGTCTCACCAAGGCGCTGAGGCTTTGGCTTCCAGCAGATAATTAACGATGTACTCATGAATTAGGAAGCCCTGGACCTCTACCAGGACCTACGTGGAGGCAACGGAGATGCTCTGGGTTCAGGGTTGGAGCAAAGCGATGCCTCGAGGGGCAGCCCGGGGCGCTGGGGACGGCTCTGGGGGCTGGGGGGAGCGGTGCTCAGTGCTCAGCCCCTAATGCTGGAGCTGCCCCACCCGCGAGGAAGGCACGTCTAAAAAATCCCGGTCAGGCCCCGCAGTGCTTCGTGTGAATACAATTTACTGTTGCTAATAACGCTGATGGTTATTTCCCCAAGCTGGGAAGTGTTTGGCCTCAAAACTGGGCTCCTGGATGCAATTTCAGAGGAGCAATCTAACACCGGATCGGCTGTGAAGATGTTTTACAGGTGACTCAGCCCAGGTTTGAGCTGGGCTTGAATTGTTCCCCCTCTCCCTTACAATTCCTGGCCTGGCGGCGATGGGGTGACGGGAAGAGCTGTGAGGCTGGACGCTGCACCAGCCACGCAAAACCCACCAACACGGAGGGTCAGAGCCACACCGGGCGCCCAGCGCGGGGCAGACACCGTCCCCGTCCCCCAAGCAGCAGCTGAGCGCTGCCTCCGCGGCCCCGGCAGCGAGGGCTTTGTGGCACTGGCGGCCTTTTAATTAAATCTCTCCCCTTAAATACACAAAAGCAATCCTGGGGATCGCAGGGCCAGGCACCCCGGAGCCGTCACGCCCCAGGAAGGGAAGCGGCATCGCCCAGCACCTCCATCACCCTCGGGACTTAATAGACCATTATGAATTAAATTGCCTCCTGTAGAGCAGCTGGGCGGCGGGTGCAGATAAAGAAGCAATTTGCAAGCCAGGGCTGCCTGGAAGGAAGGAGGGAGCGAGAGCAGGGCATAACCCCAAAAAAGCATGGAAAAGCATCTCTTACCCATCCTTGCAAGCCCATCCTTGCCCTGGGGATGCTCTTGGCCTTCCAAGAAGCAGGGTGGGACTTTGTTTCCCGGAACAGAGGTGCCTACGGTGGAGCAAGGCGAGAAAGCAGCCCCAGGGCTTGAGTTATCCCTTGGCCAAGCTCCCGAGCTGTTCCCTAGACACGCCAGTGCCTGCCTGTCTGCCGGAGCCTGCACTGGGAGCCTCAGCACTGCAGCACCTTCCCTTAATTACTTTTTTCATGCTAATTGGATCTGTGGGCATGCCTGAGGGGAGCCCTGGCTACTGAATCCATGCTGGAGCTGAGCACCCATTTTGTACGGGAAGGATACAGCCCCAGCAGCTCTCCTCCTCCTCCTCCTCTTCCTCCTTCTCCTCGTCACACCCGGCTGCCCATCACTCTCAGGTCCCAGCCCACCCCTTGGCTACCCACCTTCGAGCCTTCCTGCCTGGTGTCTTGCTGTTATCAATTATCACATCGGGCTAATTGTTCGCTCCTCACCCGCCCCACAGCCCTCAGCTGGTCCCGCTGCCTCTCCCAGCAGGAATTAACACAACCCTCACGTGGCTCCCCCGAAAAATAACGCGGAAATGCTCGTGCTCCCCACGCTCCACTCGACTCCAAGGATGCAGCTGCATCTTCCCTGGCTGGGGGCCAGCGGCAAGGAAGTTTCCTCCGACCGCTCACCTCCTCCCAGCTCCTGCAGGAAAGGCTCCCAGGGCGTTGGGGGGCCCCGACAGCCCCCCCAGGAAAGGTCTTTCCAGCCAGGGTGGCTGGGGGGATGCAGAGTCTCTTCACTGGGGTTTCTTGGGCGGTGGACGACAAGGGCTCACACCCGCTCCAGCCCGAAAGCCCATCCCTGCCGGCCTGCAGCCTCGCCACTGCCGGTGGCTTCACTGTCAATAAAACCACCGCAGAGAACGACTTCTCATCTGGAGGAGAAAAAAACCTAAGGGGAGAGGGAAGGCGAAAAGCAACCCCTTTTTTAAATGTTCTTCTCCCTTACCCAAGCAGCACGTCCCTCCCCGGGTGCCCGTCAGCAGCCCCAGGGGAGAGGCGGGTGTCGGCGGGGCCACGCGCGGCGCAACGGGGCAGGGAAGGGAGAGGCAGAGCCGGTGCCGACTGGAAACGCCAACGTCGCGCTCGCGGCCTCGCAGCCGCCTCTCCCTGCGC